GTAGTTATTGCTGACATTACAGACAGAAATTTGGTTTAACAATGGGATCTCCTTTCAGCGGCGTTCTTGCTTGTCTGTTTTTAGAATTTCTAGAAAGTGACTCATTCTAAAATATTCTCCCTATAAACGCTTCATATTTCAGATACATAGACGACTCATTATTAATATTTCCAAAAAAACACCAATTTAACGGATCGCCTCTCCAAACTTAACAACATTGAACCTACACTAAACTTCACTTTCGAAACTAAAACCAACTACACTCTTCCGTTCCTGGCCATTTTGTTACATAGAAATAATAACGAACTCAATTTTGACGTTTACAGAAAGGCTACAAACAAAAATGATCTGATCAGCTTCTACTCAAACCACTTTTCAAAAATTAAATCTGGAATGATTATAGGTTTCTATTTAAGAGCATAAAGAATCTGTAGTCCCCAATATTTACTTAAAGAAGAAACATACATAGAAAACACATCCAGAAACCTACAATACCCATATCATTTCATCCACAACGCAGGAAGAAAGTCATACAAAATATACAACCGAAACAAAACTAATAACATAATCCACAATAATAAATTACATGAAAACAGATGCATAATACTACCGACCAACTCCGTCACGTCCACTATCCAGAATAACCTATCCCATCTAAATAATCTTAAAATAGTCACAAACACTTCCAAAACCGTTATGGATATACTAAGATCTTCAAACACTAATAGAAATAATATTTCTGAAGCAGACATTTATAAAATAAATTCCAAAATTGTTCCTCCCAATATATTGGAGAAACAAGTAGAAATAAAAAAAAAAAACTCCTTTATGAGCACAAAAGAGACCTCACAAAAAACAACTTAGCTAATGCACTAGTCATACATAGAAATAAACTCAACCATAATTTTGATATTATGAATGATACACTCATAAAAAAAGAAAATAACTGACTCAGAAGGAAAATTCTAGAGAGTGCCGCCCTAGAATATTACCCATATATTAATCTACGCCAAGGCCTTTTCCCTATTTCACCTTTCTTAACAAAATTACTGCTCTCCAAAACAAACGTACACAACAAAATCGCAAAATCAAAAGAAAATGATTGAATCTGCCATCACAGCTATAATGACAATATTCGCCAAACGTGACAATAACTGACGTTATTTTCAGTTAACAATATGAAAATAGCGTTCTCTACATTCCTCCAGTGGTGAGAACATTCTGTTTTTTGTTATTATTAGTTACGTTCTTTAATTAAATTCATTTCGTATTTTGCTTTGAGAAAGTCCGCATTGGACGAAACGCGTCAGCAATAACTACAGTTTTCCTATTATCATTTATATATATATATATATATATATATATATATATATATATATATATTGACCACTAATATTATCAATAAATCTCTCTCTCTCTTTTCTATCTCTCTCTATATGTGTGTGTATGTGTGTGTGAAAATTTCTCAGAGATAACCTGTAGAAAAAGACAATAGGAAAACTCTAATATTAGCCGATGCGTTTCGTGCAATGTGGACTTTTTCAAGGCAAAAACAAATTGAATTTATTGAAAACAAAGTAACTGTTAATAAGAAAACAAAATGCCCTTAGCAACTGGAAGAATTTTGTTATATATAGCGTTTTGTTATATATATATATTTACATTGAGTACTGTTTAGTAAAAATAAAAATGTCAATAAGAACACCGGATTATATATCTTACTGTTCATTCTATTCTATTAATTATATATATATATATATATATATATATATATATATATATATATATATATATTATAATATATAGTAAGATATATAGTCCAGTGTTCTGACATTTTATTTTACTAAACAGTTATATATATATATATATATATATATATATATATATATATATATATATATATTTGGTTGGATAGATATGAGTTTGTGACCCTGGGTTTCACGCTTTAGCGATCGTCAGACAAACTGATTAATGTTTTGAGCACTTTCTAATCAGTACCGCGCATATAATATATAAATAATTATACATATATATATTTATTTATATTTATATACACTTTTCACACTGTTGTGGTACGATCCTCCTAATTTACATGGTGGAGTACCGACCATATAAATATGGTTGGTACCGGGAAGACGAAGGAGGAAGTAAGAAGAGATCCAATCCAGAGACTCTGCCCGACTGCGATTAAGTCAACCCAATCTACAGGAACAGTCTTTCCAAGAATATACCAAAACTAACTGTAAATATTGTGTACCTTTTCCTTGTTTCAATACATTTTGTTTACGTACATTTTGTGTTGTATTATTATTATTCCATGCTTATCCAAGCTTCAACACACACACACACACACATACATATATATATATATATATATATATATATATATATATATATATATATATATATATATATATATATATATATATATATATAAAAGTAAAACTGTCAGCTGCCCTCTCGAAATGACTTCTAATTAGTAGTTTGGAAGAGGCACGGTGGAGTAATGGATAACGGCTCGGATTGAGGAATCGAAGAGCCGAGTTCGAATACCAGTCGAATCCATTTACGTGCTAATACCCTTGGGAAAGGTATGAATCCTCTTCTTCTGCCCGCACCTATGTGTAAATTGCAGGATTCTATAGCCTTGGATGGCAACTGGTCTACCGCAAAAGAAATGGCAATCTACTGCGGGAAAAAATCTGCCTCGTCAGTCATGTATCTAAAGATACATGATCGCCTATGCGTGTATCACGCATGGTACGTAACTGACTGAATTATTAGTTAACTAAATTTTGACGGCTCCAAAACAAAATTGGTTCACGTTTTCCATTAACATAAACTTGAGTGATTATATTGGATCAATTGCTTGGTCTACAACTTGGAAATTTGGTTTACTGTGTTGCACCAGGGAATGTTTCTAGTCAGAACCCATCCATATTTATAAATCTTCTATTCCCTCTATGAACAGAATATTGCTAGCATATTTGGTCGGATTCTTTTATTAAATATCTCGGGATTCTTGACAAAATCCAAAGTGTCTGCGACATAATCAATCGAAACCTGTCATCTGGACTTCAGTCATCTTTTCACTCACTTTTCCTCTTGGTTTGTCCCCTTCTTCAAACATTTTCCTCGTAATTGTTCTGATGAGTCTGCTCCTTGGGGACTTGACTGCATGAATTTAAGCGTGCTATTAGACTGACATCTATGTTTAATAGATTTACATTAGAACTAGCTAGTTGCAACCATATGTTTTATTCTGAGAGTTTCTTTTCTCGCCCTTCTCGCCTGTGGAATTCTCTTCCGGTTTCTTGCTACCCTGCCACCTGAAATCTTCAAAACTTTAAATATAATGCCAATCGCCATCGTCTGTCTTACTGAAAGCTGTTCTTTTATTGTCCTTCCTCATTCTCATTCTACAGAAATTAGAGGAAGATCATGAAAGAGAAGGAAAAAAAAACTTTACAAGGAAGCGGAAACCCAATGCTAAACAGATAACAAGGGATAAACCTCTCCCCCTGTTCAAAAAACCGGGGAGAAGTGTGAACCGGACTATAGGTGAATCTATATACTCCTATTGCAGCAATATCCAATGCATGGACGAATGGGAGATTTATAAATGGGCAAAATGGATTCTGACGAGAAAAACTGTTTGGTATGACTCAGTGAACCAACTATGCTGAGTCATTTCGTTGATTCGTTGTTATCGACTATGAGCGCCATATGCTATATTATGATATATATATATATATATATATATATATATATATATATATATATATATAAAGGAAATATTGTACTACCCTCACTCTATCAACACTGCAATTGAAAATAATTTATTTCAGGTTAACATTAAATTTGTTGCAACTACTTATGAAACAATAAAATAGTTAATTAATACAAAACAAAATAATAATAATAAAACTCGAAAGAGGATTTTACTATATCACCTGTAATAGTTGTCACAAGGACTACACAGGGAAAACCTGAAGGTATTTAAAGAAAAGATTATATGAACACAAAGCAAGTCATTAAATGCATTAGTTCGTTACCGTAATTAGCATGATCATAATTTTAATTTCAAAATTCTACTTTAATTAAAAGAGAAAGCATTTTACTAAGACGAAAGTGTATAGAAAGTGCTTTAATCGCTAGATCATCTACAGTATATTTACGTCCAGGTTTTTACAATATTTCATCTTTCTTGGCAGATCCTCTATTATCACAGTGTATGATATTTAATAACAAAAGTGACTGAAACTTGAACTATGGAAAAATGAAACTAAATTAAATCTGCTAGAAGACATGGGTTGGCTGAAAACTTCATATACTGACTATGAAGTAGTGATTCTAGAGCTGTGAAATCTTTATCGCGTTACATTAAACTCGTCTTATTAATAGCTGCATTGTTTCCTTTTAGGTAGACCGACATCTGATTGTTCAAAGACTTTAATAGTAAATAGTAGCGACATCTCTTGAAAATGGAAAAGATTTGGCATCGCGGGTTTATCAAATACAGTAAAAGAGTTTAGCCCTCAAGAATATTCATGTTAACAAGGTTTTTAACATTAGGGGATAACGCTCCAGCTTTACCAACAGTGCAAATGTGGGCAGCTGGATTTAGAATGGACAAGAAGAGTCTTGAAGATAACCGAAGGTCTGGACGTCCTGCCGCTATCATCCCAGAAGAAAACATTGATGGCGTACACCATATGGTCATGGATGACAGGGGATTGACTATGAATTGAATAGCCAGTACTATTATCCTATCCCGTGAGAGAATTGAAAATATTCTGCATAATGAACTTGGCATGACGAAGGTTTCTGCTCGGTGAGTGCTACGTCTTCTGACAGCTGATCACATCACGGTAAAATCTGACATTGTTTAAGGCAGATTCAACTGGTTTCCTTGCCAATCAAGTCTATAGGACCTAGTCTGTCCTGCTATTTAACCCATAGTTAGTGGGGAGAAGTGACGGAGATCGGTGATTGCTCACATTTTGATGGAACGGCATATAGAAAAATAAGAATAATGATAAAGAAGTGAAAAAAGAAATGAGATAAAGAAGAAAGGAAATAAATGCAGGAGGAGGGAAAGGAATGAAAGAAGAAAAAAAAGAAAAGAAAAGAAAGGAAGAAGGAAGAAGAAGAAGAAGAAGAAGAAGAAGAAGAAGAAGAAGAAACAGTTCTGACCACAATGGAGATATGAGAAGTAAAACGTATGGAATAGGAATAGATGAGAAAAGAAAATTTTGATCAAATAATTTCGGCTAAAAGAATGAGTAAAGAACGAAGAAATAATAAAATATTTTTTTCTATAATTCTGTTTGCCCATACCTTATCACGACCGTTACGCCCTGTCAATGCCTTATAAATAATAAACTATTCCGTTTTTATCGCGTGGATAGACATATCAGATACGCTACTTGGTTTCAATGAGAAAATGGATGCTAGATAGATAGAGAGAGATATGTTTTTAACCTCCCCTGTCAAAATGAATATTTATATATTTTGCTCGCGAGGAAAGACTGAAAAGACATATCAGAGACGCTACTTAGTTTCAGTGAAAGAAAAAAAGAATGAAAGAAAGACGTGAAGTGTGTAATGTCTCTTGCCAATATCGCATAAATAATCATCTATTCCATTGTGATCGAGTGGAAAGACGGAAAAGATATACCAGACGCTTCTTGGTTTCAGTTAGAGAAAATGAAAGCAAAACAGAAAGACTGATCGGTCGATAGATAGAAGTTTTAACGTCTCTTGTAAAACCTCATAAATAATAAACTATTCCGTTTTGATCACGTGGAAAGACTGAAAAGATATATCTGCAACGCTACTTAGTTTCAGTGAAAAAAAGAAAGAAAGAAATGCTTAACCTCTGTTTAAGTGAAATGCAAAAGTTACCAATTTTAAATATTTTAATTTGTACCCTCTTATTCCTGAAAATAACGAATGGAATTGATATTTATTATTGTTTTTTGTAATATTTGGTTAAAGTTGTTAGATTAAATACTTAACGAAGCGATAGGGGAAATTTTGTGGTTATTCTCTTGTCGTATATGAGTATATTCAATCATTAGCTTAAGAATTAAAATGAATCAGGATATTTGTAGTGAGAGTATAAATTTGAAATTCATAATTTTAATAAAAGAATGAATGAAGAATTAAAGTATGCAAGAATTAAAGAACGCAAGAATTAAAGAATGCAAGAATTAAAGAATGCAAGAATTAAAGAACGCAAGAGGGAAAGAAAAAATATCGACAGACATGAACAAAAAGACAAAAAAAATGAAAATGGAATACATGATGAAAGAGAGATGGAAAAGAAAGAAAGAAAGAAAGAAAGAATGAATATTAAATCAATGAACGCAGCAAAAAAAAAAAGCAAGATATAAATCAAAAGAAAACTAAGAGATGAATAAAAGTGAAAAAAGTAAAAAGATGAATAAAAATGTAGAAAAAGAAGAAAAAAAACGAAGGAATAAAAGAGTATTTTAAAAATTATATTAGAAGCTATTTATAATTATATGAGGACCCAATTGCAGAAAGGAAATGACTGACAAAGAGAAAACGGAAGGGAGAAGCAGCAGTTGGAGGTAAGTTTAAAGATGAGATTATCTCTAAGGGGACTGTAGGTATGAAGAAAAACATGAGATCATTTCATGTAAGATGTCAGGGTTATTTACTGCCAATTCGGTTTCACATTGTTACCGCACAGGCGTAAAATCAATGTTCACGTGAATCAAGTTTGGCTTTGCACCTTTTTCACGTTTTCATATGGTTATATATATATATACGGTGGAGTAATGGATAGCGGCTTGGATTGAGGAATCGGAGAGCCGAGTTCGAATTCCAGTCGAATCCATTACATTCACTTACGTGCTAATACCCTTAGGAAAGGTGTGAATCCTCTTCTTCTCCCTCCAGCTATAGGTAAATAGCAGGACAGACTGGGTTCTATAGCCTTGGATGGCAACGGGTCTATGAGAAGGACAAATCTGAATTCAAAACCTGCGGTGGGTCGTTTGGGGACCTTGTGGCACGTTGTGCACCATGTCTCTGTATTCGGGCCTTCAAAAGTGTGGATGGTTCTGCAGGGAAACCTTCACCACTATAATGTTGGTTTCCTAGAACTGATCTGCTTGACCCTCATACGTTGAATTCGACGGGAGAGTCGAGTATATATATATATATATATATATATATATATATATGAATGTAATATAATAATCAACAACAAATTATTAAATAATTAATAAAGAGTGAAAAGTTAACAGGCGATAGCTACAATTAAGCATATTCACAATTATTACTACCCAACAGCCTCTTTAATAATTTGAAACGTAACCGTTGCCGCCAACACAATAACCGTTATCATAGTGCAATACACCTCGCTACCTTTAAAGTACCATTGATCAGCATATATAAATAGTCGAGCCAACACACAGCACATGGTTTTGACCATTCTGATGCCGCGCGGTGTTTGACCACTTTGATATTTACATTTTCATACCCTCTATCCTTGATATTGAGTTTTTTACCACCTTTCATACTATACCTTAATACTATATTTTTATGATCTATCTATCTATCTAGCTATCTATATATATATATATATATATATATATATAGTGGGGGGTAAAAATATTCATAAACATAGAAATTTTTTATTTCTTGTATTTACAACTAATAAACATACTTTTCATATAGTTCACTGCAGACAGATGCATAATAACTAAATATGCATGGAAAACAAGAAAATTTGATTTTGTAAAAATAAGTCCAACTTATCAATTTTAATGGATGAAAAAAGTATTCGTACAATGCAAATTTCAGATTTTAAAACTTTTCAGTTGTTTTGTTACTCTGGATTATTTAAGTGGAATATTCTAGAATCTTCCAATAATGTTATCAGTAGTTATTTTTAGCCTAAAAATGCAAACAAAACATTGTGGAATTGATATTCGTGCAAGAAGGTTATCGTCATGGCAAAAAAAGTAAAGAATTGACAAATTAGAAAAAAAGCGATTGTTAAGTTCTGGAAAGACGGTAAAAGTTACAGGAAAATCTCAAACAACCTGAATATTCCATTTCTTCTCATTAGTTCATTCATTTAAGGTGAATGTGTAAAAACTCAAAACTGTTGAAAAGCAAAGACAAACAGGTGATACACGGAAGATTTCTTCAAGATTTTCGAGGAAATTAATGCATCAATTTAAACAAAATCCAATAGTTACTTGTCAAGAATTGCAGGATGATTTGCTTTCATCAAGAATATGTGTCACTAAACAGACAATAAGCAATGAATTTCATAAGAACAATATAAAGTCACATTCCACTCGAAAAACTCCACTGATATTGAAAAGACACAGAGATACCAGGTCGAATTTCGTTTGTGAACGATAAGGATAAGGAAAAATCGTATTGAGACTAGTGTTATGGACAGACGAAATCAAAATTGAGTTGTGTGGACGTAATTCTAGAAATCATGTATGGAGGAAAGACGAACACGGCCACAATGCTTACTGACAAACATTCATTAGAAATGGTAGCCAAAACAGTCTTGGCCGTTTTGATTTATTAGAAAAAACACAAATTCCACACCGCTAGTCTTGAAAGTAATCCCCATCGGCATCCAGAATTTTTTGCCAATGTGCTTCCAGTTGTACAATGCTCTGGAAGTAAAAATCAGGTATCTTGGACGCAAAGAAGTCTGTGAGTACCTTCTGCAAATCTGCTTCATTTCCTAAGGATTTCCCCCGAATTCAGTTGTCTTGAAATTGGAAGAGATGGTAAACTATTGACGTAAAATCTGGGTAGTAAGGTTCGGGATACAATGTCTCCCAGCCAAGTCACTATATACTATCCCTGATCAACCGTACCACATGAGGCTTGACACTGTCATGTAAGACAGTATACCCTTGCGATTAACCAATGCTGGCTGCTTCTGCTTCAGTGCCTGTTGCACATGTTCCAACTGCTGTGAGTACAAATCCGTAGTGATGGTTTGGCATAGGGCACTACTTGTCGGCTAGTCAACCAGATACAGAGCATGAACTTGCGTGGTTGTAGAGGTCGTCTTGTAATGTGAGTCACATGGCCCCGAGTTGAGAACTGATGTCTGGCAAACTTTAGAGTGTCATACAGGTCCCACTTTTCGTCACTGGTGAGCACTCGATCAAATATGGGAATGTCACGGTGCCGAAAAAGCAACAAGAAACGGACTGTCACTCGGTGTTCTTTGTTGGCTTCTGACAGTGTGTGGTGTACGCACTTGCTCAATTTGTATCCCTCTTTCGAGCGGCGCGGATTACGTTTCATCAGAAACTTGGAAGACTTCGGCAAGCGCACCACAGGCTTGGCTGTCGTCCCCTTTTATGGTCGCCTTCAGGACCTCATAATCCAACACGTGGCCAGACACTGCGGTGTTCAGCACAAAGGGATAGATCTCCCAAGCTTAACTTCTGGAACCAATGCTTGGCGATGCGTTACCTCAGAGGAATATCTGACGTATTCGATGACTCAATGCGTCTTCGGACAAGGCCACCGTAAAGTCAGGAAGCAAACAAATCCAGTTGCTTCAATACCGCCATTTTAACTCGCCGCTACTCCAGCTATGACTGATTTGTGTAAACAAAGCACCTCATTGGCCAGTTTAAATGAAGATACAGCGCTTTTCCGGCACGTAATGCACTCATTTGCCTATCACTGACACTGCCTTTCCACACGACGAAAAAACGACAAGTACTCTTTTCGTGCATGTGTATCTACGCGTGTACATATGTGTCTGTGAGTGTGTGAGTGTGCGTGTGAGAGTGTGAAAGTGTGTCTGTGAAAAAGTTTTAATAAGTTTCCTTGACATAACATTAGTGTATTAAGTTTTTATCTAAAGCAATAAAATATCAGATTCACTATGAAGCGTGCGCCCGCGTGCGCACACACACACAAACACACACAGCGTTGTAACTTAGAAAAGGTTACTGAATGAGGAATAACCAAAACGGAGGTTGGAAATGAAATGGTAATCTTTATAACATCAACAAAATACAATACTCGCCAGTAGCGTGAAGTAGGTAAACCGCTGCTAGTGGTGGACTACATAGACAACATATTACCCTCACATAATAGTGTGCAACGTATTTATGAGTACTGAGACATAACCATTAGTGTTTCTTGGTACGGTATATAACACACACACAGACACACACACACACAGACACATATACATATATATATATATATATATATATATATATATATATATATATATGTGTGTGTGTGTGTGTGTGTGTGTGTGTGTGTGTGTATGTGTGTGTGTACGTCTGTTTATTTTTGCTAATATTTGCAATGCTTATAAAAACAACTGGAGGGAACATTTAAGAACTGTGTGTTTGATTATCCATAAATGTTCAACACCTGTGAATTTTGTCAAAATCAGTTAAGACGAAGTATGTTTGAAATCCATCTTTAAGCATTAGTAAAAATCATCATACTTATGGGGAAATTAAGAAAGCTATTAAAAAAAAAACCCAAAGGAATAAGAAAGCATAACTCGACATTGAAACAGATCATTTGAAAATAAATGACATCCTCTCATAATTTAATAACAAGTTTCTCGATTTTATGAAAGAAATCTGGAACCATAAATGCATCTAAAACTGTAGGTTTTATCACCTGTGCGTTTTATCACATGCGGGTTTCATCATGCACTTCTTTCTTTTTATGCGCCATGTCCTTTCAGTACGTAGGTCATAATGGTTCTCCACCCCCCTCTATACCTTTGCAGCTCTTAAGAAGTTCCTTCCCTTTGCTTCCCCACAGACCACTTTCTGTCATCTACTTCAGCCCGCCAGGTATGCCACGCGTTGTTTTCCCTTGTCTCTCTTTCCCTCTATTTGACCCGTGAGTATCAGATTCTCCAGGTCCTCCGTCCTCATTATGTGCCTCAGAAACTTCAGCGGCCTCTTCCTGATATTAAGTATAAGCCGCCTCCTCATCGTTGCTCACATGTTCGGTCCATGATATCCTTAGCATCCTTCTGTAGAAACACATCTCTGTCACCTCGAGTCTCTTCTTCGTCTATGAGGAAATCGTCCAGCATTCGCTGCCATAAAGAAGGACAGATATCACGTAACAGCCCCGTATTCTTTTCTTTGTTACCAAAGATATCCTCCTGTCTCGCAGTACTCTGCCCGGCTTTTGGTATGTTTTCTTGGCCATCCCAATACGCCTATGGATCTCAGGGTCACCCTTACCGTCCTCTGTCAAGACGTTTCACAGGTATTTAAATTTCCGCGTCTGCTTGATTCCCGACCTTCAGATCGCATTTAGGGCTCATTCTTTTACCCGCGACCATGTATTCTGTTTTCTTGTAGTTTATGCTTAGTCCCTTCTTCACACTGCCCGTCGCTAACTTATATAGAAGATTTTGTAATTTCATTTCCGTGTCTGCTATCAGTACTGTGTCATCTGCGTATCTTATATTGTTAAGGTTGTGGCCGCCAATGCTAAATTTCGTTAAGGTTTCCAGTTCTCTCAGAATTGCCTTATAGGTTGAACAGGTCCGGTGAGAAGACGCATCCTTGCCTTATGCCCCTTTCTATTTTTGTATATTCACTGAACTTGTTCCCCTATGCGTATGCATGCTGTTT